GCTCTGGGTGAGAGCGGGGAGGAGAGGCAGAGCAGAGCTGGGGGGAGCGGAGGAACCACCGTGGCTGCTCAGAGTTGTCGAACTTGTCTCGGGCCCCTGGGCAGGATCGGCAGCTCCCAGCAGTCACGAGCTCCCTCTGCTCCTTCTCTTGGCACTGCTTATTCCATCCACCTCTTACCGCAGGACCACGTGCTCGCTCTTCCCTGCCTCCTGTCCCTGCCGAACATATCCTCTGCCCTCCCTCGCAACCGCCCAGAGGTGAGGTTCTAAAAAATAAAAAAAAAATTAAAAATATACCGTGCCTTCATCCTGCAACATGACCTAATTCATGGCATTCAGGTGGTAAGTGGAATTGTAGAAAAATGAGCGAGCCCTCGTGATCCTTCACTGCTCGGTAAAATACACCCTGATGTCAGGATTTTCTTTTTACAACATCAGAGCACTGCCTTCTATAATGTCTTTAAAAAGTAGCTCTGTGCTGGTTGTAAAAGGAAGCACCCTGCCACTCCCATCTGAGAGGAGATGAATCACTTGAAACAGACGGATTTCATCTTAATTCCCTCCCCATGACTTAAGAAAATACACTTAAATGCCAGGGATGTGCTTATCTGCATTGCTTTGTATATTAACTGTTGAATAGAGACGCTCTGCAGGTACTGATAGCAAAAGATTACAGTCCTGCATTTTACTGTGTGAAAAAGATACTCCTCCTTCTTACTAGCTGGTTATCTGAAACGCCTTTAGAGCAGAATTTAGAGCAGGGCAAAGGTCTTGCTTTGCTCACACATCAGGAAAATACACACTAGAGGAGGATTTCCCTAACACGGCTTTGCAATTCTTTCCCCCCCTCAATGGGCCGTAAAAGGTAATTTAAAAGGTTGCTGGGAGCTTCATTACTACTTAGATGATCAAGGTTTTCTGTGTTTTATGTCCTGTTCACACCGAGCCCTGATGGATACAGACATTTGGCAAAATCTAAAACCACAAACAGATTATAATAGCTTGCTACCACCAATACCTTTACTGTACTTACTTTTGCAGGAGACTTGTAGACATTATAAGTTACTTATCCTGCACTAAGAAGATCCTTCTAAACCAAACTTGAGTGCTTTTGAAGAAACAGACACAAAAGATAGGAGACAAACTGCTCACCTGAATTCATTAAGGGCATCAACAATTCTGTTATATGCCAAACTCCGCTGACTGGCATCAGCTGATCTACGACTCATTTTCATAGCCTTGAAAACAATCATTAAACAGATAAGTAACACATAGCTAGAGAAGCACAGAAAATGGAAAACAAAGTCATGTGTTTGACTTTATCTTTCATGCAACTAGTCATGCAAATAATTTTTTTTAAGTGATAAAACGATGGTACAAGTGCCAACTTTCATATCTGAGGAAAGATAGGTGAGGCACATGCATTTGCAGCCTCTGCTGCTTCTGTGCTTTTCATCGTTCAAGGCATAAAAGGGGTCAAAGTTTTCATCGCAGTGGCGAAGTAACCACTAAGTATTTCCTAGAAGAGAGGTTTGAAGCAAATCTAACCACACATTTGAAACTTCCATCTTTGAAAATTTCCTACACATCAAAATCAGGGGGTTAAAAAAAAGAGAAGGAAATAAAGCGCAATATTTCTTTACAGCCTGGAATAGCCTAGAGAGGTTCTGACCCTGCGATCCACTAGACTCAGATACAGCCGAAGCAGGGAGATAGAGGTGGCCTTAAAAGCACCTTTCCCCCTTGGCTGATCCAGGGCCGGCTGGGAGCTTGCACAGCCTGCAGTGACTGTTCAGCTTTCAGCAAGCCCTGTAGCGTAATGCAGCATGCTCGGTCCTCAGCCTGTGTTGTGCTTTTGCTAGCAATAAGAAACATCATCAAAGATGCTGTGGAGCAAAGCTCTTCTCTGGTGCAATGCCAATCCCCAACAGCAAGTTGATCCCACTTTTGTAAACTAGTAACAAGAGTTAGGAATTAAATCTGACAGGGCTGGGGGGAACATACAGCAACACAAGTGCAAGAATCAAAGGAGATGGTGTTTACCTGTTCTATTGCACTCTTCAGTTTGTTCATGTGACTCTCAAAAAGAGGAAAGTGTGAGAAGAAGAACTCATTAAATTTGTTGTTTTCATCTTCATCTCTTGAGAGTGAAAAAATAACTCCAATTGCTATTTTTTTCTTCCTAACAATTCCTGGGCTAGGACCAGAGCTGTCATCTGACAAGTTAAAGCTTTCATCCATGGACCTTGAAGCATGAAAAAAATAGAAAGTTAATGTAATCTACTGCTTAAAGTTGTACCTTGGTTTCCTGTGTAATTCCATTCTTGAACATTTAACTTCAATAAACACCTTTTGTTCGCATGTGTTGTCAAATCATCACCTTTGATAACATCCACTTTGCAATTTTTTACAAGCAACCATTAATTTGTCCTGCAATCACAAAAGCTGGAACCGGATTCAAAGTGTTGGTGGGATCAGAATACCGTATTCTAGTTCTCTCTCATCTCTGCCAAGAATTTGTGTTTTGAGTAGGATTTTAGGGCTTCTTATCCTCAAAAGTACAGCCTACAGGTTTACATTTTGCCGAAGGCTTTCTAGTTAGTGCAAAACAATGAATGCTGTGAAGAAAACAGATACTAAAAAGGATCAGACGTTGAAGTGCAGCCTGACTTACACCTCTGTAAATACCCCACAGAAAGCAACAGCAAGAGCAGATGTACATATGCAAGAGCAGAATCAAGCTGACAATGGTGGAAAATTTATGGGCAGCAACCAGCATTTTCATTCCCAGCTCACCATCGAGGGAAGACCCCATTCTCCAAGCTGGTAGTCTGACTGCGACGCCAACGCCGCTGGTAACTGCTAGCACAGCTTTTGTTAAACGAAGAGCCCGGAGATGGAAACGGAGTGATGAGCAAACTGCTAAGAGATGCTGCAATAATAAGAGGAATAAATAAAAATCTCTCCAGAAGAAAGAGCATTTGGAAAAAAATACCAGCAACTCAATGAAGCCCCTCAAGATAAACTGGTGCTGCTGCTCAAGTGCCTTCTCTTTTGCTTATCTATGTTCCTTATCTAAAAATAACCAGTTTATAATAACATTAACAAGATATACAAGCACTACGAGGGTGGGACAGTCCTGCAGCTTTACATAATAGGCAACACAGAAGCTGCGCCTTGCTCATCAACCCTGAATATTGGGAAATAAATTCTTTGTGGAAAGGAGTAACCTTAATCACATCCTTTAACAGCCTTTCCAATCCTAACCTTAAGGCCCAATACCCCGAATCTGGGGGGAGGAGGGGGGTGTTGTGGAGGCAAATTCATCTTTTAACAGTACCGTCCTCCTCAATTTGGAAAGGAGATGCAGCAAGTATCGCTTAGAAATGCTGCAAACTCATTTCAGTATTTAATTTGGCTTGCTTATTTGCAGCGTGCTTTAATAAATTGCACTGCTGTTCAGATTACCTCTGTGAGGTTCCTAATGCAATACCCTTGACGCCTACAAGATTTGTAAGTATACGTATATGTATGCATTAATGCTTACGTATAACAAAACAGAACAATCGCATTTCAGCACAGGAAGAACTATCTGATGATGTCTAGACATCTCAGTGACGAGTATTACTGAATTTTTTTGGAGTCTACAGGGTTAACACATGGAACTGACATTACCAGATCGTGCTATACCGCTGTCTCTGTCCTCATTCTGCTCCCTCCCAGGCATATCCATAGGGTTGCTATGAACTGTAAAACAAGGAATACCAATTAGCAGGGGAATATACAGTTCCTTTCTTGTTTGCAGACCTCCATGTAATTAATGAAACAAAAACATGCTCATTAATTCAGATCAACAGCACTACACAAGGCCATCACCAAGAAAGGCTGCTTAGCTGAACAAACCAAAACACTTAACCGAAAAGCTTCTATGTATTTTTCTGAAGTCCATACACCTATTTTAGTACAAACTACAACTAGTACACTGTGTATCTTTACACAGATATTTTTCAATTAAATTTTAACATACCAAAAGGACGTTGGTCACATTGGTAGCACTCGGTGTATAGGCAAAAAACCACCAAAACCCAATGTAAACATGACTTCATTCATATACCAGCTTTCTCAGGTATTATATATAATTTTGACAGGATTTTATAATGCTGTCTTGAAGAAAATAAACACTTTTAAATTGTGAGCAGTGCATTGGTTGTTCAACTAAGCTGTAAACTGTCCAGATTCACAGTCTGCATATAGACAAGATCAAAAGTGTCTCAGGCTCAATAGTCTTTAAATGTGATATATTTTACAAATATGTGTGTGAAATCAAAGCTACTCAGCCATGGAAATAAGACCCAGCCACTAAAAGCAAGAAATGTCCATTTTAAATGAACCTAGGTTGGCTTTAGTTTTAACAGTTTGGTTGAAACAAGTCCAGATCAAAATAGCTTGACACGGTTGTGAAATATTATTTCCAGAAATATGAAATCCACCATTAAATATATAAGTTTCCAAAACAAAGCAACACAACCAACCAACCCCAAAGAGGACTATTAAAATGCCTGTTGTCCTCTGGGGAATTAAAGCATGTATCCAAAAAGGTAAGAGAGCAGACATCACTGTCCGTCTTGTATTTAAAAAAAAAAAAAAAAAAAAAAAACAAAAAAACTTATTTCCAGGGCTAAACTACAAATCCACAGAGTTTTGTCACACCAGCTAGACTAGCCACACAGCACAGCACACAGCACACTGCAAACCTGCAAAGAAAGAGGCGCTCCGGATCAGGCGGAGCGGACCTTGCTCTGAGAATGCCCGCCTAGGGCTGCAAAGCTGTGAAAGACCTACACGGCAAAACGTAAAATACACATGAAAGAATGAGGTTAGTAAAGCAGCACAGTCTGTAGGGAGGGGGCCAGGGCAGGGAGAAGATAAAAGCCAACATAAATGCAGACTAACAGTATGCAGGAGAACAGCTCTTACGCTTAACAAGAACGTTGATTCAGGGATATGGCTTACAGTTGAACTATACAGTATTTATAGAATTAAAATAATAGACCCAGCTTTACACTGTCTCCCATACAAGGATGGGGTTTCTCTCCAAGGGCTTTTTTTTTTTTTTAAGTTGAAAAATGATTAATTTATGCAGGCTCAAAGCCTAACTTGATCACAAACAGGAGATTCATGATGGAGTACAATGTTTGTTTTAACATCCACACTGGTGGGGTGGGCGATGAACGCTGTTGCTGAAGATGATGGGGAGGAAGGGGGAGGAGGGAGGCAGAAATTCGCCTTAGTAGAACCAACAGAATATTATAGGCTGAAGCAGTTGTTCTGAGAACAGTCAGTACATCAGTTTAGTGAAATGACCATATAGAAAATAAATGTTAGCAGTCTCAGCAGTCCACTTTAAAAGTAATACTGGATTGTAGCTATACCAGGGAAAGCGTGTATTTACTGTACATGGAGCCAGGAAAAATGCATGGGTGTTTTTAATGAGTTAATTGCCAAAATCCTCTCCTAAATTTGAAGCTACTTGTCACTCAAAGTTTTCTGATTATACAAAACATGAAGGCTGCACCTCAACAAAGCTCCCTTCCATTCTCTTAGGTCTTTACTCATTACAGGAAAGGACATGACCAGTGCTGCTTTTTTTTTTTAAAAAAAAAAAAAACAAACAGCATATCTAAAAAAAAGCAGTTCGTAAATAGTTCCCAGCCAAAACACATAGACCCTTCTCCTATCACAGGCTGGCGAGAGGCGGTGAGTCAGGAGCAGTCTTCGCTATTGAACCCAGCTGTTAGAAATGCTGCAGTTACCCATTAACTTCTTTACCTACTTTACCCATGGTTCCCCCGCGCTGAAACGGGAACTGTAAACAAACACTGTCGAACCGACTGAAAACTCGTGCAGCTCAAAGAAAGTTTCAGCATCCTCTTCTAGGAGGCAGTCTCGTCACTTCTTGTTGCACGCCCTTGCACCGAGGTGCCTACACCTCCAGGCCAGCTCTCGGGGCAGCCACCCTTTCTGCTCGGTGGGGAAGAGCCACCCTCGCTGCAGAGCCGGACACAGATGAACATGTGGCACTGGCTACACCGAAATCATATTGAGTCCACGCCTAACAGTTGCATTATCTGAATTTGAACTTGCAGTTTAGATTACACTGGTGATACAGCAAACTTTTGCCAAGCACAAACCACAACAAAAGCCTAAAAGTAGATGAAGCGAGTTCCTCTCTCTTAGATCCGGCATCTTGCTCACTCACGCGCTGTGAAAAATCACGACTGAAGTCTGAAAGGAATACTGCATAAGAAAAATGCACCTTTTTAACTTTCCTGACTTAGTAAATTCAGGAAGCATTTAATAGATAATATTAAATTCTTACAGCTTTAATTAGCTTCCCTCATAAATGGACTATTGGGAATGATTTTAAGCTTTTGAGCCTGAAAAGCATTTAAGCCCAAGCTTAGGAGTAGTCTTAGCAAAGTCAGTGTGAAGGAGAGAAGTAAACACACCCAACAAGAATTAGGCCCATGTCAAACAAAGCCAGAAACCCAAGTACAGTAACAAAGCCAACAAATTCACTCCTTACTTCCAACCCTAGAAAAGTGTATTTTACATACAGCAATATTCTGGAAAGCAAACGTAAAAAGAAGCCCCTTATTCCACCTACTGCAACAGACATTTGCTTGGCAAGTCAACAATCTAAACCAAGGGAAAGGGAGGATGTGCTGAAGAGCTCATCGGGCTGCTATACTGGACAACCAAGCCCTAAAGTACGATATCATTACTCTCAGCTCTACCATTCACATGGGGAAAAGCCAAGACCTTCCCCTCTTTCTGTAATCTAATGTTCACGCAGCCTTCACCCACAGCACTTCCACGAAGGCTGAGAACCAAAGGTGCCAAATGGCTTTTTCAAGGCTGCTTAGCTTCCACAGTCAGAGAGAGAAAGAAGAGAGAACAAAAAGATATTCTGTCTAATCCAATCAAAAACGCCACTGCAAGTGTGCAAGGTTAACTTAAACTAGTACAGAACACATGGCCACATGTGCTCAGGTGGCCAGAGTACAGAACAGAATGAAAATTATTAACGAAAACAAAACTGGGGAACCGAGTCAGGCAGAATCAATCCTGCCTGATCTGAAATACGCTGCTTAGCAAGTTCTACAGACTGTTATTTTCCAGCATTTTCTGTATTTGAACCTAAGTATATCTAAATATTTCTATTATGTATTCTATATGCACATACACAGCTGTATATATTGAACCACTGCTAATTCCTTGAACTGTCCGATCTATTCTCCTCCAAACCCCACCAATATTAATTTTCTATTATGTCTTTAGCTTGCTTTTTTTTTTTTTTTAATTTGATTCTGTTTAGAAGATTTTCATATTCTAGAATCTATTATTACTCAGTTAAAGGTACCAGGAAATAAAATCTGTTTGTAATTACCTATATTCCCAAGAAGTCCATTCATAATTGTACTGTGGTCAGGCTTTAATGTATTGCTGTCTTGATTAATGAACTCAAGACTGTCCTGCAACCTGTAACAAACATAAAACATACAACAAAAACAGTGATTTGCATTTCAGTAGAGTGTAGTGTTATTTCATTATAGTCTGAATGGAATGGACAAGATAAGAATGCAGGCTTCCACTAGAAAAAGCTTTCATAGCCTAGGCCACGTTCTCAGGTAGGTCAATTAATACATGGAAAATGAAACATTGCACCTTCTGAAGCCAGATGTTTTTCTAACACCTTTTTTCTTCATCTTGGACCAAATTCCCCACCTCTAGTGTTCTGTCCTCATCCTTTCTCCTTTGGTGGTTGCAGGTGCTTTTGTACCTTACAATATCAAGCTTCACCATAGCAGCATTAAAGGAATGGTTCATTCATTTGCCTAAAGCAAACTGAGGTGAAGACAACTGCAATGGGAAGGTGAGGACACTAGTGACAGGATGTAACAGAACAGGGAACAAGAAGTTATTTTTCTAGAGAAGGAATCTGGAGTGTCCAAAAAAAGTCTTCTGTGTTCTTAAATTCATCTGCTTATGTGCAGTAGATACAATTTGTAACGGACTCACGTATTCAGACTTCCATAGATGCTGCTTCCAGTGCGAGCTGTGAAAACCTTGCTGAGCATGAGCTGAGGAGGTGAGCTAGAGGACAAAAAGGAAGATGTCAGTCAGAAACACAGCGCCAAGACAGGCTTTGCTTTCCATTTCACAGCCCTCCAGATTTTATAGACCTAAACGTGACCTAACAGCCTTTTGTGTCAAAAGTGACATCAGAACAACTTTAAAGCAAACCCAGAAATTCCTTTTACTCTCCACTTGTGTCATTCAATTCATTACATATTAGCACTAAGGAGTAAGTCTTCTGAAAAGATGAGCAGTAAAAAATTCAGCTTACCGAATTTGGTGAATTTTCAACGTGGAGCCCTTGTAGCTCATGGCCACAGAGCCAAACATCATCTCTCCAAGCATGTTAGCATCTGAGGAGCACCGAGAACCCTGCAAAAAAACCCCACCAACATTTGTTTTTAAGCATTTTAGAAGCACGCCTCTATTAAGGCAACACACAACTAAGGAAAATATTCTTTATTTGAAAGACAAACATGCAAAATATCTCACTGTAACACTGTTGAACACACCAAGTTGGACAGTTCAATAAAGATAATGCTAGCATAGAAAGTGATCTTCACATTGGCTGTGAGCTAAACCACTAAAATCACCCAACAAACCTAACCCGTCTACAGGGGGTGAGGGGAAGTAGATTCAAACTGTGCTGAGTCAGGAGACTGAAAAGTTTTAAGAGTGTGGTAACACACTTTACTGAGTAAGAACCATCGAGCCTAAACCTTCTGGCCGTTTGACAAGAATCACAAGTTCACAAGTTCACTGGAGATCTTATACAGACTGAGCATTGGAACCAAGTTGGACCAGTGCTTTCTCGATAAAGACTGATTCATAATTTATCCACGGATGGTGTTTTAGATTTGATGCATCTTTCCCTGGTGCTCCTGTGATGGCACCAGCAAAGAGCTGTAGCATCATGATGCCAGGCTTAAGTTGTGCAATTCCTGCTTCTCGGTTGGTGAGAGCTTGCCGTAAGGCATATTGGCTAAAAACAAAGGAGGAACATCACCATGCCGCATCACAGGCTAGATCAAATACTGCAAACAAAAACCTAAAATTAAAAAGTTACTCAGAGCAATCAACTGGAGACGACTGCTCAGCTGACAGTCATCTTATTTGTATACTTTCAGTGACTGAGATTACTGTCCCTTTATCCAGGGCTGTTTCATCTCTAGGCTAGCAGAATATTTGTGCTGGCTCTCCATTTGTGCCTTGCCCTGAATAATTTAAAATATTGTGATCACTCGCTCACAGAGCTCAGGCAGTTCATAAGTGAGGTACTTTGCTACTGTGCAAGAGAGCTATACATCTCCTTTGAGGTGCATGATGACTAATAACACTTCCTTGGAGTAATCCTTCCAAAAGGTCCCTAAAACCAGTCACAGAAATAACCTTGTGCTTGGAAAGTGCTAAGTGCCATATCTCCATATCCCTTATCCAAGCTCTGAACAACCAGGATCCTCACCCAGATTCCTATACAGGCTTGGAATATATCTAAATATTTTGCCCAGCGCCAGACAGCGGGCTCAGAGCACAACCAAGGGCAGGGTGTCCACACCACGGATTCCTACCAGCAGTAAGGAGTGATATGAAAATGACCACTCAATGTTTCTGCTCACGCTAGCCCGCAGAACAAGGGCAGGACAAGGAAATGCTAATCAGCCAAAAGGCAACACACTTACAACACTTCTCAATTTTTAGCTCTTCTCAAGCACTCTCAATTAAGATGATGGCACTTTAACACACATACTATTAACCTCTGAAATCTGCTCTCAGTGCAAGAAAGATAGGGGATGACAAGAAGTAGCAACCACAGTTACAAAAATGAGGATATAATGCAAGGTTTGTTAGGGTTCACATGACAGGGCAAGATCTGATCATTAGCTGCGTCTCGGAGAAATTTCCATCTTTACCTCCCAGGATATCATAGTGCCTAGGTGCACTGTAGGCAGCACTGGAAAAACCAGACTTTAAAATCACTCAGTATGACCCAGCAGCTCCAAGGAAATATAAACATAGATGTTAATGGCTCTAGGAAATGATAGGTCTTGCCAGCATCATGAAATCTTGAAGTAGAACACTGCAAATTACTACAGTCAAATGTTAGATTGTTATTTTTAAATCTGCTGCAGATCTCCAATTGAAGGACTCCTTTTGAATAAATGTCAAGCCCTTGATGGTTGGTTTTGGTTTCAACTTTCTGCTGTTGTGAAAATCTAATTCTAAAGCTGAGGAAAAATACTTTATCTTAAAGTATTGACTTTCTTTGTCAAGCAACCGAATTTAAAAAAGCAAGTGAAAATCAGCTGCTTTCAAATTTAATTACAGGGGTTTCCCTTTCCTCTGAAAAACAGAGACAAGCCACGCTGAAGGCAAAGAGCACGGTAAGATGCACCCATGGCCTGTTTCAATCTGGCATTTCATCTACACTTAATAACAATAATTTTACCGTGCATAACAGAAGATGCACATATTTAATGCATTTAATATGGAAACACTGCTACAGCTCAACTCTTTGGGCCTTTAATGCTGCAAAATAAAGGTCACTCAAGACCAAAGTGGAGTGCAATCAACTGAGGAAAGGGGTTAAATATTAAAAACTCAAACAAAAAAATAGCCAAGGAGCATCTGGCAAAAAGGGCACAGCCTCCGGCACTGACAGCCTGGACACAAACCAACTCCCTAGGTCACATTTACGACCTCACATAAAAATTGATCATAAAATACCCACAAGTGTTTGTTATTGCACATTAGCATATTAGAGGCAGTAAAATTTGCATGATTTGGAAATTACATTTCTGAATATATTTATAGCATTTAATATTCCACTTACTGTACATATTGTCCTATCAATAACTAAGTGCATATGTAAATTAAAAACGCAGCACAGAAATAAATGTCAAATTTCACGATCAACAAATCAGGAAGACTTTCAGTCCTGACTACACTGACAAGCAGGTACAGAGGTAACACTAGTGTCATAATGTGCAAATAATTGTGGGCAAGCTTAGAACCGTATTCAGCTTCATCTTAATGAATTCTAATTGCATTTGTGAGGGATCTGGATAGGACATAATTAAAAATACGGAAGCCTGGAACAAAACCCTGCATTTCACCTTGCAGTTAAAGTTGCTCATATATAGTCAAAGTGTTTTTAAACAAGGAAACGTAAAGAACTATTTTAAAAGTCCTATAGCATTGTATTATTTGGACTTCCATTCTGTAGCTTTAAAAAAAAACAAAAAAAAACCCCAAACAAAAGAACATGTAAATACTGCAAATACATTAAGTAACTTCTGAGGTTCCCAGACACAGCAGTTAGAAGATAGGAAATGCCAGGCTGCCTGACATCTGGACAAATGTACTCTGGCCCTTCTGCAACACATGATACAAAATTTTATTGTGCAGTAAAGAACTCTTGTGTTTATGTCTCTCTGCTCGCTTGCTGGGGAAGCCTGGAAGGAGTACGGGGAACACAGTAGATAGTTTACAATAAATATGCTGTGGAAGACCAACTTAAGCTGCAAGTTTCTCACAGACTTTCTGGGCCAGTTACATAGCCACACATCATTTCAGTTCAACTCAGTAAGGTTTCGACTAAGTGATACGCATGAGGAAACGGGGACTTAAAAGGGAAAACTTTCCACAGCTTTAAAATACACTGTCATGCCAACCACTAAAATTAATTTCCTTTAATAACATTGACCATTGTTTGCACAGAGCCTGCCCAGTAGGAGAGACAATTTCTGGGTAGTGGGGAGCATCGTTTTTCTTGGTCACACAATGCACAAGGAGGTTATTTTGTGCTGGAAGGAAGCCGCTGACAGAAATGTCTCTTCCTTTCGTAACCGCAGCTGAATGCCCTTCCAGGAAGGGAGGAATGGAAAACAGATCTTCAGCCACCTTACTAAAGCTGCAGAAAAGAGTGTGATGAGAAAGAGAAAACAAGAATACACAGCTCGCCAAATATAGCAAGAGCTAACACGACAGTGGGAAAGTCAGCACCGAAAGGTTCTTCATTTGTATCTACAGTAGATTAAGACATCAGTAGTACTGTACTTCAGAACAGGTTGTGGAGATAGCAGCTTCCCTCAAACACACAATTACTTCATTACAAAGAGTGGAAGGGCTTAGTTCTATTTTAGGGTGGCTTAATATAAAACACTTGTGATCCATGGAAGGAGAGATGACAGAAATATATCCGTGTCAGATGACTCTAGCTACTCTCATGGCCAAAATCTCTTATGTAAAATGTAACTCAAGTGCACTGAATCCCTTGTTAAAAAGCTGTTACGCAGACTATCCCTACAGATACCACATTTCTCTGTTATTTCCCTAGCATTCAGCAATAAACTAAACTACCTCATCTATACCAAGATAAGATATTTGTGCCAAGTCCGATTGTACCGAACAAGTGTTATCACCTGGGTCGTAAAACAGAACAAATGCCCTGGAGAAATCGCTGCCATTCAAGACACATCTCGAGAGAAACAGCTGGTTGGTTTTACACTTGTTCAAACCCAAAGCTACAGAATTAAACATTACTGAGTCAGAACCAAAGTCTGATTTTGACTGAAAACTGCTCTCCACCGCCAGCCTTTAATTTCAAGCACTGCAAAACATTCAGTGCCTCACCTGCTGTTAGTATTTGACACAGGTTATGCAAAAAAAAGGAAGAGTGACTCACCTGGTATTTTGGGCATTGTTCTTTCGGATCAGAGAACGAGGAGGATGAATTGATTGAACTATCCAAGGAAGAAGAGCTGTCTCCTCCAGGCTTCAGTTGGCAGCATTTCCCAAAAACTCTCACCTGAGCATCGCTGCAGAGTTTCTGAAATACAGACAACATATGTGACCCACGACCTGAAATCACTGTTTAGCAGCCCTGTACTTACCTCTTTAGGTAAGATATTTAACAGCTGAAAGGCCTATGCCCCAGGAAAACAGTTACCAGAATATTTATTAGCATCTCTTGCAGCCTGGCTGTATGAAAGCAAGCTGAGCTGTTTTACTTCCAATCAGCCAGGAGCTAACAGGTCACTCCACCTCCATTTTCCTAAGTAGCCATCCGTCTCTGAAGCTTTACAAATGACTTTTTTAGACCCAGGATTAGCAGAAAGGATGGTACCACAGCGTTTAAAGGAAGGATGGCAACAATAGGCTCCAGCTGTCTTCCTCTTGCTGCCTGTGCCCACTGGGGTGGAGGTGACACAGCACGCGATGGGCACAGCCCTCCAGAGCAACAACGCCGGCCAGATCACAACAAGGAGCAGTTCACAATGTACAGGAAAACACACTGATTAGGAATAATCGAGCAAGGACAACAGAGAATTCAAGAGAGGTTCATGTTACAAAGGTAAATGGAGAGAAAAGAGACTGGGTTTATAGATCTCTCCCTAGCTGTGTCCAAGTCCCCTAATCTTTTTAAAGAGCGGCACAGAGGTGACATAGAATCACAGAATCATAGAATGCTTTGGGTTGGAAGATGTTCCTCTTGTTTTCAGTACGAGGGAATTGTGAGGCTGAAAATGGACAAAGCTGAAAAACACAGTCGGTGTTACAGAGAGGCCAGAAAAGTTTCACAAAACGATGGAGAAATGGTCCAAGGGGTGATTTCTGATAGAGATTCAGACAGAAAGCATAGCAAAAAGGGAGTTAGGAGGGCTCAGATGGAGCTGGAACTGACATAGAGCCTGGGCAGGATCTGTGTCCACTCGACACACGCAGTATTATCAATCACTGGCACGGGAGATGTTCCACTACTGTTTCGTTCACTATTTAAAAACATTCACCGTCTCCCCTGCGAATCTCAGCAGCCCAAGCAGAATCAGCATGCACGTTAGTTAATGCCATTTGCACTAACATTAGGCAATCCTCTTCACCTAAAGATCTCGATGTATTTTACATATATTCATTACACTTCAACACACCCACGTAAGGCTGGCATTATTTACATTTGCTAGTGGGCAGCACCAAGAGACAGAAATAGTCTACACTGCTCAAAATTACGTACTAACTCTGCCCTAAAACTTTCTTAATTAGCATTTCCTATACAATCACCAAACCAGTAACAGCAAGCTGGAAGCAAACCCTACTGGAAGCCAGGTTCAAGGGACAGATGGAAATACAGAGTGCTGTTGTACGTCACAGCTTCATCTCCAGACTCACAGATCCACATCACAAGCTCCTTCTTCATTCAAAAACATAAGTATGTCTCAATATTTAATAGCTATGGGAAAAAAGGAACAGGCATAAAGAAAAGTGTGAAATACCCAAGGCACAGGGTGGTAACTTCATGACTCTGCTCAAAAATCGGCAAGAACTACACAAAAAGACAACTGCCCTTACTGCTGTGGAGGGATTTTGAGGAGGGACAAGATGGGAATCCCACGCCTCTGTCCTAGGCTGTGCAGGTTACTTTGGGGTTTTTTTCCCCCCCCTGCTAAATCTCACCCACAGTTAGGGACAGGTGACTTTTATTTGGGCCTAACTGTGGGTGAGATTTAGCAAAACAGCAGGAAATGTCAGGGATTATCGAGCTCCATGCAGCAGTCTGCACTGCTGGTCCCATTAGAGAGCTGCTGCCACAGAAAGCCTTAAGGAAAAATGTGCAGACAAATCAGTAATTCTGTGGCAGAGGGGAAGGAAGCATTCATTCGCCGCCGAGTCCTGTGCTTTAGTGACATGTATGGCCTCCCATAGTAGTATCCTCTCATTACAACATCGTGGCGAGTACGTTGAATTCATGCAATATGTAGATTTGCTAATGGCTAGTATCTGCGGTTTGAGCACAGTACACAATGGCTGGAACATGTGAATGATCATCATATGACTTCAGTAGGAACTCGTGAACTAGAATTGCATTTTATCTCTGACACAAACAACAATGTCCTAGGCTAGGCAAGCATCATGTGATAAAACCACATAAAATCCACAGGGTTACAGAAGCTTTTGCAGGCAAACCACATTTCAGCTTGCATTTTCCATCAGATGTTGAAAGTTCCTTCTAAAAAGTTACAATTATAACTAAGCTTCCTTGAAACTGTAAAGCCAGTAAATGCACAGGTGAAAAAATTTTCTGTGCATTAAAAAAAAATAGGCTGAGTTTGCAAATTACTTACTTTTAAGTCATTTCTTCTCATTATCACTGCATTTTTCTGCACAGCAGCTTTCCCCAGATCCATTGGGGAGTCTGGTATCTTGAAGTAATAGCTGCCTAATTTAAATAGCAAACCAGGAAAATGGCTGTTTGGTCTTTGCAGTGGAGTTTAATGAACCAAGACTCCTGCAAGAAGTCTGTAAAGGAGGTCAGGACCTTTCAGATACCATTTTTCAGAACCTTGTGAACAGTAAACCCCTCCTAAAATGCAGATCACTGATGAATTTTGGTGTTTGCTCTTTTACACACTTAGCATGTGCTTACGAATAACCTGTTGGACAATGAGATCGAGCACCTGCAATGCCCCTCCCCTCTGCAGTTTCTGACTCCAAATGTCAATGAAATTTTAGATGCTACATATCTCAAGATATTATGCATCAAAGGAGTGGGATTACTTGCATTCCAATCAATATTCCAAAGATATTCAAGCTGGTTTTCCAAAAATAAAAAGGTAACCTAATTATTTAAGGAGTGTGCAGGGGAAAGTTTCAAAGTTGTGGATTTTCTTTCCAAACAGACATAGTTGCAACAAATCAGAGCCCTAGGCGAAGTGCTGCGGGAGTCCTCCTAAACACTCACTTTTGCTGGAGAGCAGAACATCTGCTGGAAGGATGCCGCGGGCAGCTGCCACTCCTGGCTGCCACGCTGCTCTCCCCGCTGTGGTCACACTCTTTGTTCTTTCTCTGCCAACTCGCTGCAGATACCGCCCAGCTCCAAAGACTTCCTGGCAGTCACAGTTCTTACATTAGAGGTCATCATTTGCTGAAAGTCTTAAACCTATCAGGTAGTACTGAAGATAACTTGGAGTAAAATGTCTTTATAGTGCAACAGGGTACAAAGTAGTTTTCTCCTACAGTTCTGCTTGTGGAATCTCTTTTCTCCGCCTCTATCAGCAAAGACCTTTAACTCTTTGCCACGAGGTCTATGAATTCCTCAGCAAGGGGAAAGAACATATGCAGTGCTGTGCACGGGAAAAGGAATTTCTGCTGGGCAAGTTTGGGTTCGGGGATAAGAAGAAACTTGAAAGGAGCCTGGTGCGCTGAACTAAATCCAGGCTGTGTGCATGTGTTTTAGGGCTGTGAGTGACAGAAGGAAAAAGAAATGTCATCATATGGTTTAGTCTTTTCTACCTCTCTGCAACAGCAGGTGCTCAAATACCACTGTGGTGGTAGTGATAGAGAAATTTGTATTTCCAAGCAAGGCTGCCACTCTTCAAGAGCTCTGTGCCTCATTTCTAGAACAGGTTTTTAAGCAAAGCTGAAAAATTATTCCAAAATAGGTAAATTAGCTCTTTTGCTTTATTAATGCATGTTGGTCTGAAGGTGTAATTAAATGTATGCATCCACCTAGGACATAAGAGTAACCTGAAGAGGCATTCATTCCTTCCCTTCGAGTGCTGCTGTAAAAATCCAGTTATCTTTCTTAAAATGCAGCTGTCAAGTGCTACATTCTCCCTTTATTTCCAGAGTTGTCAAGTTCCTCTATTACTCAGAGGTCAGTGAAAGAAGTAAAGACAACCCTATGCTCCCCCACTCCACTAGTATTCTTCCCCTTCTGTGTAGAGAGTACAAGCAGCGCTAAGGAGGTGGGACTCTGTGTGCTTACAGCTTTCTCCGTCTCTTCAGCCTGGCTCACTGCAAACCTGTCCACTGAGAGCCAGATAGAGACCAGAGTCTCCGCTTCACACAACTCACCTAAAAGTAAAAGGCTCACTATCCAATTACTAATCCCTCAAAGCAATTTGCTGCTCAACATTTATCCAGTGCTGAAGTGTATTAGAACACGTGGCTAATCCTGGCTTGTTTAAAACAGCGTACCATTTTTCTACTTTGGGATAAATATGACATTTGGAGTGAATGAAATTGCAGCAGTAGGAGATCAAATATAGTATGACCTCTCAGTTAAAATATCCCAAAGACAAAGACAACTAGGTTACATGGCAAAAGTGAACTTTTCGCTCCCCAAATCCAAGTCCACTGTTGCACTTCCAGATCTCAAATTCTGCACCCCGGCCCACTCTTTCTCTTTCATTTCTTCAAAAAATGAAACCAAACCCCACTTCGGAAAACCCTCTTCTGACTCTGCATCCTGGGAACAAGCCACTGCCCTTGTCCAATTCCTTGTCTTCCTCCCCTCCCAGCCAAACCACCCAAACTCCGGATCCCCGCTCAGCACAGTGCACAGCTTGGCTCTTGCTTTCTTTCCTCCCTCCTCTTCCTCACAGTCCCTTGACTCCACACCTTCCTCTAGGCTGATCTTTAGACTTAGGAAATCTCTTAGCTTCTTACACGCCCATCAGCACCTCTCTTCAGTCACATCCCGGATGGTAACTGCCATCTTGCCGTAAGTCACCAGTGGACAACATGAGAAGGAAAACGAGCAGTTAAACGAGGCAGCTAACCCCCGGCCCTGAACTCATTCAGGCTGCTCCAAAGAAAGCCCTGACAAGACATTCCCCCCTTCCCAGCTCCTTCTTTGGTTTACTCCCCACTTCTCCCTCATGGCACCATTTCCGTGGCATCCTTATCCCAGTCAACTGCCGGCCCTTGGAGGAAAACTCCTCATACTTCAGCTGGCCTTTGCACACTGACATTTACGGCGACATAATTCATGTGCCGCACAACAGCAGCGGCACAGTAAAATACAACACAGCCTTCGCCTAAGGTTAGCGTGAATGCAGCGTCAGGGTTGAGAAGCCAAGCACTCAGGGGTCAGGAAAGGCAGAGCCAAGGCTGAAAGCTCAGCACTGGCCGGGCCACCTGGCCTCTGCACCTTAAAAAGGAAAAGGAGCTGCTTGCCGTGCTTGATTTGAAATTCAAACCTGGTATCACAGCTCTTGGAGGAGTATACCTGTGTTCCTATGCAGCTCCTGGCTTGGACACTCGGGACAACCCAAGGGGGTGGATGCGTGCGGGACCTCGCAGAGCCGAGGCAGCGCGCAGGGAGGCGAGTGGGGCTGGTGGTACGCGTGTGCGGAAGGCAGGCGGGGAGGGGTTAGAGGACAAGGAGCCGACAAGCGCAGAAATGAGTCTACTAGGAGAAATCAGTCGTAGGTCATAACACTATCACCTGCAAATCAAGTAATACAGTCGCATTAGAAACGAGACACTTACTAGTATGAGGAACAAACTCTGAAGTAACTCTCTAGAGGAGAGAGCAGATCAAACCCACGTGCTTGCCCGTAGAAGTACTTTCATACCCCAAAATCCAAGGGATGTGGATGTTTGGGTGTGGACCGAGGCTCTTTAGTGAAGGCATCAGCAATGTCTACTTCTCCTATCACACGCTGCCCTGGTATAGTCAATATGCAAATGCCTGTTCTGAGACATTTGCTCATGACCTAGTGTCACAGGGCTGGAAAGGACAGCCGCTCTCTTCTGGGATACCCCAGCAGAACTCAGACGGGGGAATTACCCAATTTTCTGATGCTCATGAGGCAGCAGCCTTTTGGCTCTGCTTACAGAGCCTGGCTGATCAATAGCCCATCCTCTGGAAAGCCAGGGAAGAACCTCTCCTGCTTAGCACCAAAAAAGGTATAGGACTCACAAAGGGGATCTCTCTGCCTCCCCCCCATGCCAAGTGCCCACAGCTGCCTAAGGCGGATCTCTGCCTGGCCTCGGTGGAAACGCCTGGCACAGCCTTCGGCCAACATTCCCGGTGCGGCGGCTGCCAGCCCTCCGAGTCACCAGACTGCTGCTCGGCTTTGCTCGCCAAGTTTAACTCCAGCGAGACCCGGGGAAAACATCGCTTCTCCTGCGCAATTAAAATATTTTAATGGCCATACTGCAAACTCTCAGCTGCCTTCTGTCTGTCTCTGTGCAATACCCTCCCAAAATTCTTGTTTACCTAATATTTAGCTTTATTGAAGACATGAAGAGGCCGATTTAATATCCAATGAAAACACAAAATCCGTATTTGTGTTATAGTTACATTTCCCTCACGGATAATATGAACCTAGTGATGCTTTAGTAATTAGAGCCCAGCTTCGTGTGAGCACAAACTCTGCAGTTTTCACTCATCAAAAAGTCAGAGCCTACTGTTTTATTTATTGAAACATCTGTGTCTGGAAAAGTTTGCTCTGATGCTTACATTTTATAACCACACCTTCAAATGACTGAGCCACGTTCAACCTTGGTCCACCACACACAACTCTTGACACATGTAGAGATTAGATATATAATATAGAGCAAAGTATATCTCACCTTGCTGCAGGCATACAACTCTTGAATTATAATTGCTTTCACGTCCCATAAGCAACAGAAAACGGGAACTGAAGAGCACAGCAACATAAAGCAAACTGAAAGCCTCTTGGTTCTCTGCATTAGACTAATTAGACTTCAGTCAGAACAGTCTGGCCACTGCTAGGCACTCTTGCAAATCTCCCCCCAGTGTTATTTGTAAATCCAGAGGTATAAATCACGTTAGGAAATGGGGGGGGGCGTGATGCAGAAAGCATTGGCTTTTCTGGGGTGGTGAACAGATACCCTTTCAGAAGGGAGAGTGCCCAGCCCACACACGTCTTGCTGCAAAAGGGCAAGAGTGCCTTGGAATGTGCTTAGAGCCAAGATCTGGCTTTGTATAGGCAGGGTGTGTCTTTGTTAATGAAAATCATGATAAAGAGTGAGAAAAATAAACAATGCAATTCCTTGAAAATGGCCAGTACGTACTGCTAACTGTACAAGCCTGTACTAAGCTCGCAGCAAGCCGTGCCGAGGACTCTTCTGCACGTTTTTACCTGCATAATGTTTCTGCTATTGCAAAGTTTTGTTTTACGAGGAAAGTTTTGCCTGACCTGACATTATCCGAGTGATGCAGAAGGCAGATATCAGGGTAAGCAAGTGTTTCAATATATTCTCTTTTAAAGTCTCCTAATACCACAAAAAAGAAGAAATATATCAAGTTATTAGAGATGAGTACTGGGCATTTCAAACACCCTGGGAACAGTCTTCCTCCACCAGTCCCCCATACTCATTTCATAGAGATGGTGGACACAGCTATTTCCCTCCCCCTTAGCAAAGAAAAATAAAGGAGAGATTCATATGGCACTGTGTTAGCTTCATTATCAGCCGTTTATTTTGTTGCTGTTGAGCTGCCACAGTCAATGATCTTTCTGAAATAAACCAAAACAGTGAAGTTTGCAAGTTCACTGTGCAAGTACAGATCTATCTTAAAGAGGTTTTAGGCTTTCAAGAAATCAATTGAAATATGGCAAGAGGATTTATACTGTACAACATCCTTTTTATTGATGAAGTAATACTTTATAATTAATGAAGTTATAGTAATAAGCATAGCCAGGAATTTATACCAATAAACCACTTCTAAAGATCTCTTGTCTTTAAAAACCTGTTCTCCTGGCAAGAACACTTAGAAGAACAGGGACTTTTAAGTTATAAAGCCATTCTAATGAGTTAAAATTGAAAAGAAAGATGCAGTTTGTTCAACATTTGTGAAACTTGCTTTACTTCACAAATTCTCACAAAGAACTAGGAAATTGTGATCTTGATTCATGGCTGTAAAAGCACTAGAGTAAGCAACGGGATAAGCCTGGAAGTTAGTGCCTGATGAGACACAAACTGACTCCCAGAGGTTAGGATATGTGGATGTAGGAAGCACTCAGGACCGGGATGAGAAGCATCAGGCTGGCAGCGTTCAGCAACAGGCCGGAAGAGTTTACAAAGCTGGATGAAGAATCCTCTGGCTGTACTCCAGTACCCAACACAAAAACCAGGGCTTGGGGGTAACATGTTATTTTGTGTACTCCTGCTCACAGAACTCAGTAGGTCCTACGGGTAAAAGCAACTGGGATCGTAAATTTCAGTTCACACAGTGCTTTCTGCTTGCTGAGCTTAAAATGGTTTGCAAACGTTTTTAGAGATGGTGAAAAGGAAGTTCAAAGCAGTGAAAGAAGTTGTCCAACCTCACGCAACCACTTACAATAGCACTGCGGCTAGAAATTAATCTGGCCAGAGCCCTTAGAAGGAAGTATCCTCATCTGACTGCACCCATTACAGTTGCAATTAATAGATTACCATGCAGACCATGCCAAAAGGAAAAACAGAGGAAAAGTTTTCAAGTAACTTTGTGTGGAAAAAAACTGTCAGCAAAGCATGGAAACAACGATTGGCAAAAGCTAAACAAACAGGACACAAGAGGACGCAGGACTGGGAGGACCTTCTGGTTAAGAATGCAGACCCCACCATGGCATAAAAGCACATCCATAAATATCAGTTTACGCCCTGCCTCAGCCCCCCAGCATTGCCTGCTGCAGCCCCAGGAAGGAATCCTTCTCTCTGAAAGAGCAGAAAGTAGACGAGCCCAGGAATAAAGAGATCACTATAGTATTTAAAGCTGTTGCAAGTGAAATCACCGAAGCCTGAATAATTTGCAACTTACCAGGCATTTAAATATAGCCCTGCACATAACCGACGTTTAATGTTAATGTGAATAAACCACAACGTTTGTGATTTATCAATCTTGCCATTTAAAAAAAATATAGACTATAACCATGTAAATTAGTAAAATACTCACCGACACTGAAACATCCTCTATTTTTCTTTTAGCACTGGAGTCAAATAAGACATTCCGTCCTCTTCTTTCGCAGTCCTGATACACAATCAGTCGGATCTGACTTGGGTCAAACTCCGGCAAAGGCCAGCTTTAATTAAAAAATAAAAGAGCAGAAGGATCAATTACCACAACTCTTCATTACACTGTTCTTTCTACATTATCTGTATATACAACTTTATTAAAACATAAAGTCGAGCAAATGCAATGCTCTTTCATCAAACCCTTCGATCCTGTAGCCAGACCTATGCCTTTTGGTTTTTTCTTTCCCCTACACTTGCCAAATTACACTGGCATAAACGGCACCAATCCACTGCAACCATATACAATGATGTGCGCAGCATTAGTAGCTCTTGTGCTCTGTCTTGTGATATTTAATGTTTTCTTCAAGTTCCAGCTTTTCGAAATCAGTCATAGAAGAACTCGGCTTTTGTGTTTAAAGACAACGACAACAAAAAAGGTCCCTCATCATTGCAAGCACCAGCTTGAAAGCATTCACAATTCAAAAGCAAAAAGAAAAAAAGGTATGTATTCACACTGGCCTCTCCCTTAAGTAATGAATTTCTGCATTTGCAGTCATGGGTTTTCAGCCTCATGGGTTGGCAAAGCACTGAACTCCACTGCTGAAAAAATGCAAAGTACCTTTTCTACCCTTCTTCAGGTTTCACAAACACTGTAGGAACATACGTGTATAGAACTAACTGCGGTATTATAAACTGCAACATTCATACTTATCTATCTGCGGGTGATGCTGGGGAACAGCCAGCCACGTGTAGCTCGGTCCTGACTATATACTCAGGTCCTCGCTACGTTCAGACTAAGAAATAATCTCCACTTAAGCCACTGTGATTCCAGGCCATGCTGCTGCATGGGTCAGCAAAACACACACAGCAGTCCTCTTCTAACACACCTATTCCCAAACTGGTTTTGCAGTCAGTAACAAGGGAAGGCGCTCTCCTGAGCCTCTGCCTTCCCTGGTGCCACTGACTTCAGGGGAGCTCTGCGAAGGGAGAGCTTGCAGGGCTCAGGCTTGAATACCATCACATAATCTTGCCTTTAAGGGTGCTATGTAGCCATGATCTTAAATTTCCGTTTTAAAAAGCCAGCCATCATTTTAAAGCCCAGCAAGCACTGTTGCCCATGGGCTTGGGAATCCATTTTCACTGATACCTTCTCAGTTCTTGGCAGATAGGAGGCAAGGCGCCTGCTCTATCCATGAAACCAACAGGAATCATCTTTCAGCTAGTTACAAGCCATTTCCTAGAGCAAGTGAAATTCTATCTTCCTTATCCCTGGCTTTTAGGCAAGCAGCATTAGCATGAAACCCCAAGAAGTGAGAAACGAGGCCCTGGAACTTTCCAGCCATTAATGAAAGATACAGGCTTCCAGTTTACAAGAAGGAGCTGCACATTTATTTCAGCAAAAAGACACCCATAAGTGATAATATGGATTAAAGTAAACCTGGCGTGCTAGACTGCAAGACTATGGTCTATTTTCCTGTCCTCCATCCCTCTAATTCACCAACCAAGAGGTTTCCTCCTCTGCGCCTGTGATTTATGTGATCAGTATGCTAATGACGATTTGTAACCCAACAATTTCTATAATAGGTCACAGCAGAGAATCAATTTGATCACCAAAGCCATGGTTGCCTATCCGAAGTTTTTAAGACTGTCCAATACAGATTCACAGGCTTTACAGCTAATGCAGTCCCAGCGAGATGAAACTAAGCACCAAGACATGCAGTTACTCGGTCTCTTGAGAGAGGAAATCCATTTCCTGATCTGTTCAGCCCCACCGTTTAGCAACAGGAGAGAAAAACAGAAGCTGCAGAGAAGATAGTGTGCAACTTATTACAAGGAAAAAAGCTTGAGCAACTTGAAACTGAAATAACTTGATGTCTAGATTTGGCGGCAAAGAGCCACACACCCTCTCTGGGCACCTAAAGCCCATTGTCCACAGAGGGACATGCCCACACGAAGAGCAGACTGCGAACGGAGCAAATTCTGTACCAAAACCCAAGCACGGTGACAAACTCAGAGCAGAGCTTACATTTACCGGGGGCTCTGCTAATAAGCCCCATCCTGCATTTCAGAAAATGTAAGAAAACAAAATCACTACTGTTTGATGCATATTTGGAGTGTTATCAACCAAGAGGCTCAAAGGCACTAGAGATGGGGACGGTTACTTGTAGGAGCCTGACCTGGGCTAGAGGTGGGGAGGCAAGTGAGACCGCTGGCTAAACTGGTTTCCTGGAGGAACCTTCTCCTTATATTTAAGTGAAATCAGTGGCAGTCTGGAAACTCATTTTGTTTCCAGATAGGCCACTGAGGCTCCTATAGAGAAACAGTATGTGACAATAACAACGAATTGCTTGCCAAAAAGGTGCTATCGCTTGCTCCACCCTTGCAACGCATCTGAATTTCCTTCACGCTCAGACAAAAGCATGTCTTCCATTACCTAGTACTTTTGATATTTGACTTTGAAATTACTGGCAAAGAAGGGCAGTAGCTGTTCCAGATCTTAGGAAAGTCTACTTATAAAAAGCTCCAAGAGCAGATTACACACTAAGAGGAGAGAAAGCTAAATATAAAACTCTTGCTGTATTCGGAAACATATTTGATCAAGGTAACAAGAGCTTGTTTACTTCTCATCTTCTTCACATGACATTTTAACTTTCTCTAGACAAGCATTTAGTAGGTATTATCCATCATAATTTGTGATAACTCCAAATAAGCGTTATCTCTGTTACATAATAGAGTCCTTAAGCACACTTCAGCCTTGCAAAAACATTCCCTGGCAATAGCGGGCCACTTCCCAAACCAGAAGAAACTTTAAGAGAGCTGGGGGAAAGTTCACTTAGACAGACAGTAAACAGAGGCAGGCTGGCACCTCTGCCTCATCCCCACCACCTCCCAGCGAGGCACATTTTTCTGGAGGAAGCGGGACACGGAGTAGCTTTGCTGTTCTTGTTAGCAGTTAGCAATACCATTAAGCTTGATATCTGGATAGATTATCCCCAGAAATGTACAAATTCCTGCGTGCAATACGCAGGGCGTGTTCTCAACACAAACGTAACAGGGCAATATCCCAGCCGCTACTCTTCAGGTATATGAAAACTGACCTAGATCTTCTGAATATATTAGTTCTGTTTATAAATGGAAACTAACTTTGACATTTAACTGATGTTTTCTTGAGATTCTTATAGGAAAACCAGGAGATGTAGAATCAAACGTTCTCGTAATGTTAATGAAAGTCGAGTCTCCATCTCCCACGCTGTTCTAGAAATGACGGGCCTCTGATGAGGACTTTTTCCTGCATGACCTATCTACCACTCTTTGATCTTTCTTTGAAACGGATTATATTTAAAGAAAAAAACAAAAATCAAAACCAAACCCAGAGAAAACAAACAAAACATAAAAATCTCCACCAAGAAAACCCCGACAATCTTTTCACAGCGGAAGCGTTTGTGACTTTGCCACACGGTGCTGTGAGTTCACACGTCGAGCAAGAGAAGCGATGGCGATCAACAAATTATTTCTGAGCAGGACACCAGTCCTGTGGAGATCTCCACCACACAAATAATGATCCTTCTAGAATAAGATGTTCAGAAACACCTATATGAATGGAATGGGGTAGAAATCCATTGATGTATAGAAGCGGCGTGGGATATTTCAGAAACAAATCACATCAAGCCAGATCTCACACAATCACAGACTGGGTGAGGTTGGTAGGGACCTCTGGAGGTCATCTGGTCCAAGCCCCCTGCACAGATGCTAATGCAGGTAGAAAGCACAAAGGGAAAGGAATTCTTGGGGACGGAGAGGCAAACTTCCACATGCATGATGATGAAATTATTAGAAACTAACAAGGCCTGAAAAATGGTATTTTAATGCATGTTCACACTTAAGCGCTACTATCGTTCAGCTCTTGCTCTTTCACCCATTTTGTTTTCCTGCCTTTTTCACATTGAACCACCAGGAGTATTCTTTGTAGTTTACATTTACAGATCTGCTCCATGCTTCCTGACATCTCTACTGTGAGTTGCATGGCAATCCAGAACTCCAAATTCTCTCCAAGAATGGATTTTCTCATGTATCTAATTCCTGGAGTTTCTTACTGCCATAGATGTTTCTCAGCAAGAGGCAACTGAATGGCTTTAAATTGGTATTATTACACTGTGCACAAGTTTTAATAGATGAAACGACAGACACAGAAATCCTTCGTTACCCCTCCACCAATTAAAATACAAGATTTCCCCCTGCAACTGAAAGCAAGTACATTCCTTCCTCCTTGTTTCCACTACAACACGAACAGCGATTCTTCGTTACATTAAGGATTTAGTTTAATACTGTTTTTCCTCCTGCCTCAGACTTTACTTTTCAAACAATTTCATACTAACACAGCTTAGGTAGTATCCAATTACTTTTTTAATAATTAACACGGATATTTTAGAAGTCTTAAAGAAAGGCAGCTGAAGCAAACTGACCGAGATAGTAAGCAGGCAGGAATTGTAAAAGAGTTTGCTAAAAAGTAAAGTTGCACAAAACCAGAATACGACTAATCATTGAAAAAGTAAGTTGAAACTATCAGTCAAACTATTGTTTTCCTACATCATGTTACCCATAGTTATAAAAACTGCCTGGTGATGAATCACTTCCAACTATTTTTAAATGCATCTACGCAAATGATATTTATAGTTTATGCTAGCTTATCTGTTCTGCGTGTTTTTCATGTTAGCACCTTTTAAAAGGCTGACAGGAACAGCCAAGCAGAGCAGACGGCAGGTCCACCTTGCCCCATGCCCTCCTCACAGGGCTCCGCATGGAAGGAAGCGTCTCGCTTTACTCCTGTTAAGATGAACATCAGAAGAGAGGCATAGGGATCCCCAGGGCTTATCTCCAACTCCTCCAGATGATCTTCATGTCCTATTGTTGTTACGGTGGTGCTTAGACCCAGCCAGCTTCTACACAAGCGCTGGACAGAGACTGTCCCTGTCCTCAAGAGCTTAGGTTGTAAGTATGAGACCGTTCCACTGGCTGCATTGGGATATTTCAGATGCAGATTATCTCCACGTTCCACGGAGATGTACAT